GGGAGCAGCAGGCGGGTAAGGAGAGGTCTGCCAGCCATGTGGTCACCTCCAGGGCAGGCGGGGATTGAACTCATGTGTACCTGGCTTTAGCTTCTCAGTGCTGTGCTTTAACCCACTGCGCCACCAGGGAGGGCCAGTAATGCAATTTCTTAACTGCCTCAGACTGTTGCTTCATGTCTAACTTTTGTTTTCGCAGTTCTTAGTTGTTGTTCCTCAACTTCTACGTTGGAATAGGAAACTCTGCAGTCACCTCCTAGCATCATTCTGAGAAAGCATCTGCAGACATATAACATCCCAAACACCACTGAATTAGATCAAGGTGTTTTGTTTACAGAAAACTCGTACAGCATAATCGCATTAACTTTCCATATTCCCAGGTCAGTGAGTATAAGGTTTTCCATATTTTGGCACTGTTTTCCAATAATAAAAGTGTCAACATTTTACTTTGGAGCCACAAAAGTTAGTGAGATAGCACTGATGAATAGCAATAGACTGGAGAAAAGAGTAACGCATAATGTGAATTCCTCAGGAAATCAATTAATATGTTTTATAAGACGTAGTAAAAATATGGTCAAGGGTTTCCAGAGAGTGAGGTAACACTGATCCCCAAACACATTCTTTGTTATGCTTTGTCCATCAAAGTAAAAATTTTCTGTGCTAAGACAAACTGAAAATTTCAGCGCTCCCAAGACTAAGACATCTTATAGCCCACAACATACAAAGTTCCTGCAGCCTTTGACGGGGCTTAGAAATTGCAGTTTTTGCAGCATTCCCAGGCTCTGCGTTGACTTTCTGTGGATGCATGAACTTCGTATATTTCGGTGTTCTGAAGTATTGTGTGCATTTTGTGGGTCCGCTGCCTGGCCGGGGATCGAACTCAGGCCACAGTGGTGATGACGCTGAGACTTGACCCCTAGGCCACCAGGGAGGCCCAGAATTACTTAAGTTATTTATTTATTTATTTATTTTAAAGAAGTTCTTACTGAGCCAGGTAAGCCACTCTCATATTGGGGTAAATGGTAATATTAGAAAACAAAAGTGATACTATATTCATATCACTCCTATATTGGTAAGAGTCATTCATTCCTTCAAGGAAGATTGACCCCCCAACACAAAAGTTTGCTGAGCACAAGAATAGCCAGACCCAGGACAGGAGTGTAAAGACATGGAACATGCAAACCCTGCCACTTGAGTCCTGGGTGGTAATGTTTAATCTTAAATAATTCTTTAGAATGATCATCAGTTGCATCTAGCCACCATGTCTCCACGAGGCCTTCTGTAGATATCCTGATATTATCACTTAAATAGAGAGCCTGTCTTCGTTCATACTGACAGACACTGCTCTTCACTGACAGCTAAACCTAGTGACGGGACCATGCAACCTGGCTTTCTGATGGACACGCCACATGTTTGAATACGAAACTCACAAATGCTGATTTAGCACGGCTTTTGATGAGCAGTCAGACAACCAAAGCTCTGCTGCTTCCTCAGAGGGAATCCACGTACACTTGCTGGCAGGGGCTTGTGGGGGGCCACCCAGGAAGGAGCAGAAGAGCAGCACCCCCACGCCGGGGCTCTGAAAACCTATGTGTGGCCATCATAGCATCCCTCTAAGGTTTGGATTTTTTTTTTAAAAGATTTATTTATTCATGCATACAGAACTGGGGTACAGGCCAGAGATGTGGAGGGTGAGAGGATTCACCAAAGACAGAGTGGGGAGCAGAACAGGCAGATTAACAAAGTACACTGCTGAGGGGAGCAGCGGGCGGGTCAGGAGAGGTCTGCCGCACCCTGTGGGTCACCTCCGGGGCGGGGATGGAACTTGCACTGAAGTGGCTGCAGACAGCTTCTCAGTGCTGCGCTGTAACCTGTTGTACACCAGGGAGGAATGAGGTTTGGCTTTTACACCCTTTATGGGACAGGGAGTTTGGCTCTCAACCTTTCAACACATGAAATTTTTTTTTTAAGGTAACATCATGCCTTTCTTGGGCACCTACATAGCGAGGATTGTACACCTGAATCTGTTGATAGTTAAAGCCTGGTGAATTCACAGATACCTTAGAGTGAGCCTGTAACCTGCAGGCCCTTGATGTCTAGGAATTCTCCTAAAATTCAGTTGTTCCACAGGTGCACACAAAAGGGTCAATAACGGGTTTACTTACAAAAGGGCATTGGAAAAGCAACAACCCAGGGGAAGAGAGCAGGATACAAGGTAACTGGAACATCTTACCGGCTCGGCAGACTTGGAGCTCAGGGAACAAACTGAGAGCCCTCAAGTCCTGTGGTCCAGAGAGTTGTTGCCAAGTGAGAGCCGTAGAAAATGGCCCCTACTTATCCCCAAAGTCCCAGAATGCCACTCAGCCCCGCCCCTGGGTCCCCGCAGCTCTCTCCCGGGTGCTGCTGGGAGTTGTAGTTTCCAGTCCCTGGAGCAGGGGCGGTCCCAGAAAACCGGAGCAGGGGTGGGGTCCACAGGACTCTGCCAGGCTCCTCCAGGACAGCCTTCCCATAACAATATTAATGGCCTAATACAAAGCTACATGACATCCTGGGAAGATGAGGAAAGCAAGCCACAGAAAGCTGAAGCCACTAGCCGCTGGTGGAGCCAGGATCTGAACGCAAGGCAGCGAGCTGGCCCTCCTAAAGCACTACGCGGGCGAGAGGCATGTACGCTGGGTTGATGCCCTTTGTGAACCCTGAGGATGTGGAGAAAAAGGACGGTGATGACGTCATCCCAGCTCCCTGAGAAACCAAATCCAGGGGAGTGGAGGTCAGTCTGGCAGGCAGTGCGGAGGTCAAGGACACGTGGAGGTCAAGGCCACACGCAGGGCGGGGCATGAGAGCCTCAATGAGCCTCACCCTTAGAAAACCCTTCCTCTGGGTTCTCCTTTCAACTCCTCCAGTTCTAATGGCTGAACGTGTGGCATCAAGGCGTTCATGCTCTTCCTTTCAGGCGGCGCCAACCTCCCTGCCTGTTCAGGCAGAGGAGTCTAGAACCTCACTTCTCAGGACCAGCCCGAGTGCTGGTGCTGCAGCCCCGGAGAGCCGTCAAGCGGGCGCTCGTCCCCTTGCCTCTGTCCCGTGTCACTTGTCAGGGGACGGTGGCTGGTGTCCTGGGTCAAGGAGCCCCAGAGGACAGCCAGGCCATGCGGGACAGCCACCCTCGGCAGGAGCTGTCAAGGGGGGACGGAGCGCGTGACTGAGCCTTCCTAGCAGGGCCCCCGGCCCAGCCGTGCCTTCAGACAATCCACTGCTCCTCAGCCCGGCAGCAGGCCCTGCTCCGGAACCCCCAGCCGAGCGCTCACCGTCCCCGCCGTCAGAGACCAGGTAATACAGGTGCAGTAATAGAGTGGTTAAAGTTGGGGGCTGCTGTGCAGCCACAGACAGCTAATACACAAATCGACACACCAAGTCGATGCACACACCCCAGAACCCAAGACTGAACAGATAAAACAACACTGAGCGCCTTGCCTGGAGTTTCCAGGGACAGAGGCTTACCCAGAAGAGTGCGAGCAGCCCCAATCTGCACCCGGACACAGCCACCAGCACAGCCGACTGCCAAAGCAACTCTCACCGCACGGAGCTCAGGAGTGGCCGTTACTCGCCGGGTCAGTCACATTGTGTGGAGAGGGAAGACGAAGGTGTCAAAATACACTCAACTTCTACAAAACTTAAAATGACAGGAAACCGTCAAAATCCTTAAGGTCACGCGGACAGCAAATGCCGCAAAGTGGGTCAAAGAATCTCACAGTCCAGCTTCAAAGGAGGGAGTGGCCCGTGCCGAAGCCACAGCCCCACCAAGAGTTAACAGCTGCCGGGATATTTGACCAGGCCACAGTCCACTGCACTCTGACCCCAGAACCTGAAGCCGCTCGGGTCACACAGATTGGGCGCAGATGGGCCAGTGATCTCAGCAGCGATGTTTTCAACATTCCTAAGGCTGGTGAACAAGTGTCACTTGCATTTTCACTCCAGCACAATTATGATTGTTACTCCAGAGGCATTTCTGTCTACTCAGCCATCATGGGTCTCGTGAGCTTCCAACCTCCACGCGGTCTGCTTTATTGCTCAGCCAGGGCTCTGAGTCCCGCCACGTGACACAAAGGAGGCCCCACAAACAGAGACAGAGGCCACCTAGGCCCGAGCAACTTACAACCTCCACCGAGCGCCAGGCCAGGCCATGTGCCTCTGCCTGTGACAGCCCCCTCCCGCACAGCTCCTCATGAGCCAGCAGTTTTCAAAGAAATGTTTTCCCATTAACATTCACTAGCATGTCACAGGCACATACATTTTCCTGGGCTGCATCAAATTTAATTTCGGGCTTAATATCCATTTGTCCTTTCAGCCTAAAGTTAGCCTCTTGCATTTGAGCTGTGGCTCCTGTGTCCCCTCCCCGTCACCTTGCAGCCACAGGTTCACTGGAGAGCGGTCTCGGCCCTGCTGGTCGGCCTCCAGGGACAGGCATTTCCTGCTTCCCACTCTGCCTCCCTAGGAGGCTCCATTCGTTTTGCTCATCTCTGTGCGAAGCGATGTGTGTGACTCAATGGCATTTCAAGCTTTCTGTATGAATCTTTCTTTTCTTTCTTGAGATACTTAAGCATGCAACAGCGCTAAGACATAACTGATGGGGAATCGTCTTTCCCCTTCACTCCTGTCTACCCAATGCCAACTCTGAAGAAATAATAAACGCTTGCTCTGCACCAGCTAAGCCCCGGAAGGGAAGTCTGGGTGTCTGTCCCAGCGAGCCATCCCGTGTAAGAATAGATACACTTCTGAGCAACTGGAGCAGAACATCTCAGTAGGACCTGTCTCTCCCTTCCGATATGTATATATTCATACCTGGGATCCCATACAATAATGTCAAAAGCTATTTCCTTGTCCAGCAGTTCAAATAGGTCTGAGTTCAGAGGAAAATGAAAGTAAGCAAAAACATAATCCCAGCCAACTTGTCAACACCAACAACACACATACAATTGGCACCCAGGGGCGCCACCGGTACTCACCCCGCAGCCCAGGCCGTTGCCCCCTTCACACGTGACCTGCCTCTCTCCTGGCTGGGGCAGCAGCCCCGCCCCACAGCCGGGGCTCGGGCACAGGACGCCCCCCATCTTCAGCACGCACTCCTCGGCGCCATACTGCTGGTACCGGTTGTACTGCAAAACGACAGATACACATGTGACGTTACCATGGGGGGTTTCAGGTCAAACAGTGACAGCGTGCGGGGAAGCAGACAGGGGAACAGCGGGTGGCCCACCACAGAGAAGCTGGAGCTGACTGGTTCCTGCTGTTTAATGGATAAATGAGGTGCTGATTTTTTTTCATGTCTAGAACTTTGTCCTCAAAAAACAAATTGTTCCAAAATTTTTCTTAATGTTCCTTCTCCTGACTGCACCCAGCAGTTTTAGTTCATACAAACGTTAGGGAGCATGCCTGTATGGATAGGGTAGATACTTGCAATCATTATCGTCAACCCTGTAAGTAGTATGTTTTCAGACCTCTATTCAGAAACCATCGTAACAGTTTTTAAAACTGTGTCAAAAACAGTTTCTCCGCTGCCCCGTGATAACTGTTGGCAGCCCACGCACTATCAAAGCACTCACTGAGCTTGGTGAAGACACCGATGTTAAAGAACAAAATTTGCCTTTCTTCATTATTCTTATCTTATTCTTTAAGCATGCTTTCTTTAAACCTTGACTCCATTTTTTTGTGTCACCACTTTGCAAAACTTCCCTTTCATGTTTTTACCAGCCTGTGGGGGAAAAAAAAGTCTTAAACTCCAAAGTACAGTTTTCACAGTCTTCCATGTTGCTGCCTAAATCTGTTGCTTCTCTTGCATCATTTGAGCATATTACCTTATAGATCAAGTCACACGGATTTGATTAACTGCTAATTAACTGATGAACGTTTATTGAAAGGCTACTATGGGGCCGGACCCTATTGTGGGTGACGAGTCAGGGGCTAGAGAACAGCCTTATCATCACATGATGCTAAGTGGGAATGAGAAAAAGAACAGAAGAGATTGACTTCAGGGAAGGTGAGGGTCCAAGTTTTTTTTTTTTTTTTTTTTAAAGATTTCTTTATTCGTACAGAACTGGGGTACAGATCAGAGATGCAGACAGTGAGAGGGTACACCAGAGACAGAGTGGGGAGCAGAACAGGCAGATCAACGAAGCATACTGCTGAGGGTGCAGCGGGCGGGTCAGGAGAGGTCTGCCACGCCATGTGCTCACCTCCGGGGCAGGCGGGAATCAAACTCATGCCGAAGTGGCTTAAACTTCTTAGTGCTGTGCTTTAACCCGCTGCGCCACCAGGGAGGGCCGAGGGTCCAAGTTTTAAAGCACAGACCAGGGGCTAGAGAAGGCATGATATCGGGGCACACAGGCTGCCATTCTTCGTCTAGGGGGAAGATGTGGCATGTTGCGGTCCAGAGGCCAGAATGTGCTGGGCTCACCTGAGGCAGAGCGAAGAGACAGCATGGCCGCGCGGAGGGAGGGAAACAGACGTGAGGTCAGACAGGTACCGGGCACTCAGAGGGAGCGCTGCTGGTTATTCTGAGCAAGATGGGAGGGGCCGGAGGGTGCAGAGCTTCGCAGGGGCACGTGTTGACTAGTCGTGGAAGCGAACCGCCCGGCCAGAAGGTCTGGGCGACTGGGGACAAGGATGGCAGTGGGGTGTCCCAGGCGGATTATTTTGGATGGTGATGACTTGAGCTAGGAAGATGGTGGCAGTGGTGGGGAGCAGCCTTTGCATTCTGCTATGTTGGGAAGGTAGAAATGGCAACATTTTAGCAGATTGAATATGCAGGGCGAGAGGAGGAGTCAGGCAAGAGTGTAATGTTCACTCCCGGGAGAGGGTATCAAGGAGACTGACTTAGAGAGAGACTGCCAAGGTGGGAGACCTTGGAAGCAGACAGAGGTAGAGTGTGAGTGTGTTTGGGGGGGTTCAGGGAAGGAGCCATTATTTATATTTTGGTCACTTTCAGCTTCATATCCCATCACCCAGTTAAGTCAAAATGTCGAGCGGCTCAATGAAACATGAGTTTGGAGATGAGGAGAAAGACATGGCTCTGAGCGAGTCACTGGCTGGGCAGGAGAGCTCATAGAGCTACTGGCCACGTTCTTGTTATCTTTGCCCCAGGAAAGCAAGAAGGGTGACTCGGTCAATCCCCACGTCCCTGCCTTCCTGGGGAGTCTGGCGGCTCGCGTGTGCCTTGTGCACGTGGGAAGGAGCAGAACTGTAGCCCCAAGTCGCCAGACACGTAAGAGATTGTCCATGGAGCTCCGACCGACCAACCCACCAACCAATCCCCTGACCAAGGGCGTCGGCACCACACGGTCGTGAGGAGAGGGTTCTCCACGGGGTAGGTGCGCAGGAAACACCTGTTTCATAAACGAGCTGGACTCTGTAACTCACCAGGTGAAGCCGTAAAAGCTGTCCCAAGGACCCCACTACCAAGGGCAGAAATAAGCATGTGTCACCAGGTGGCAGGTGATGAGACGGTTTGCAGCTGGGGTTTCCCGCTCACCCTCCTCCCAGGAACCTCTCAGCGACCTCAGCTACTAAGCTGTCGCTCCCGTGCACCCTAAAATGCCAAGAAAGAGCGGGCAGCTGTGTTCCGTGACCCGGACTCCTCTGCGCTCTGTCCGCGCCTCACAGCTACCCACATCCTGGGGATTTATTAGTAAAACTCCCACTAGGTGAGTTCCACGAGTTTTGTGTGTCTTGGCTGCCCAGCCACGCGTCCCCTCAATAGCCACGACTCGGGGTGGGGGTGACTCTGCAGCTGCGGGGGAGGGGAAAGAGAGCCAGGCAGGGCTGAGCCACGGCGGCCGGGGACACGTGGGGAGCCAGCAGGTGCACCAGCGGGCCCAGGATCCCGCCAGCCGCTCACCGGCTGACGGTGACAGAGCGTGGCAGTGGGGTCGGCGGTCACTCGCCCACTGCAGGGGCCTTCCTGGGGCGGAGCCAGCAGAGGAGAGGAGGAGGAGGAGAGGCTGGGGGTGGTGGGGCTCTGGGCGCGGTCCAGACTGGGGCAGCAGCCAAGGGCAGTGGGCGGTGAGGGACTGACAGTGGAGAACCAAGTTGGTTGGCTGCAGGGACGGGCAGGAAGGGAAGGGAGAATGGAGGGTTTCAGCTAAAAAGAGAGCTGTGACTGCGACCGTGATGGGTGACGGAGAGGCTCAGAGGAGGAGGGGGAGGCGGGCGTCAGCCAGGCAGGAGGCCCGCGGCTGGGCGCCGGGCGGAGGGAAGATGGGTGGGAGCGGGAGGCCGTGGGAAGAGGGGTATTGGCTGGGCAGCGTCCACAGCCCACCTGAGGGCAGGTGAGTGCGATGGGGAGCTGCTAAGGAGGTTCTCTCCCCGCCCCCCCACGCACAGCTGGCAGGAAGCTGGACTTAAGCTGAGCCCCGTCTCGGTGAGCCCCGTCTCGGCGAGCCCCGTCTCGGTGAGCCCTGTCTCCGTGAGCCCCGTCTTGGCGAGCCCCGTCTCCGTGAGCCCCGTCTCCGTGAGCCCCGTCTGAGGAAGGGAAAGGTCCTGCCAGGCGTATGTGTGCGCGTGTGCAGACATGTTCATGTCACCTGCCAGCTGAAGCGCTGAAGCCGTTATCACCGCTGGTTTCCAAATTTCCAGCTATTCTTTCACAAGGTAGATAATTACAGACAGACACTGAGGATCATTTATAGTTGACTCCACCTTATTTGCAAAAAGGTCTGAAAACGGAAGTTGGCATTAACAAAGCATCCCACTCTAGCTGAGGAGGAAAATTGCTCCTCTTGCAGTTCGTCCGGTTATAGTGAAAGTACACCCTGTCAGTGTGATCGAGACAGGTGCCATCTCCACTCACGGCTGTGCTTTCTAGCTTACTTATTTCGGGAGTAAATTATTCAGTCTTTATTTGTATCCTCATAGAGCCTCATATGAACAGGAAATACTCGTTTATGGGAGTTTCGATCCGCTTAGATTTTAAGAATCCTGTAAGGAGTCGTGGTCGAGTGTAGTCACGTCGAGGCTGTAGTTTATGTTCACCAGGATTGGAAGGGCCGGTCGGGGGGCATAGTGTCCTCTAATGAAGCCAGGGCCACACGGTCAGCTCCCCCACAGACCAGGCAGTGACCCCTTCCTTGCTGGCCGCTGTCCATTAAGGGAACTCGGGGCTCCTGGAGGGGCTGGCGGGTGGGGCCCGTGCCCCAGGCCCACACCTGCCTCAGCGCTCACAACATCTGCGTTGGCGGGGACGGACGGCGTCTTCGTGATGCCGACTTGCCTGCTTTCGTGAGAAAAGTGAGCAAGGAGGAAGTTGAGCTTGGAGACTTGAAGCACAGAGACACCAGGTAATAGGAAAGTCTGGGGAACTGGAGAACGTTCTGTGAGGGAAGGCCAGGGTCTGTCAGCCAGCCAGGAGCTGGATGGAGGCCCGTCCAGTCCTGAGAGCCAGGAGAGGCTGCTGTTGTACTGCCAAGGAATGTTCCAGAGTATCCTTTTGGGGGTCTCAGACGTAGCTTCCAAAGCAAGCTCTGTGCCGGCTGGGGCCCCCTGACTTTCTGCCCTGAGGCCTGGCTTCTGTGAGGTCTTAGCCACAAATACTGGGGGATTCCCCCCCCAGTCGCCTCCCCTCATCCAGCTGGAGGAGCGAGCCCTCTCATGGGGGAGATATCGGCTCCGTGAGTGCCTGCTCCATGCCAGGCTGCCGTGCCAAGGCTGGGCCTACACGGTTGCCCTCCATCTGGGTTAGGAAGTAACCATGAGTGGGGAGCCGCCATCAGCTCCAACCCCGCAGGGTGGGCCCCATGACCCCACAGAGGGTCCCATGACCCACGACCCCACAGAGGGCCCCACAACCCCACAGAGGGCCCCACGACCCCACAGAGGGCCCCACAACCCCACGACCCCATAGAGGGCCCCACAACCCTACGACCCCACAGAGGGCCCATGACCCCACAACCTCACAGAGGGCCCCACGACCCCACAGAGGGTCCCATGACCCCACGACCCCACAGAGGGCCCCACGACCCCACAGAGGGCCCCATGACCCCACAATCTCACAGAGGGCCCCACAACCCCACAGAGGGTCCCATGACCCCATGACCCCACAGAGGGCCCCACAACCCTACGACCTCACAGAGGGTCCCATGACCCCACGACCCCACAGAGGGCC